TTCATCATCCGATTTATCATTGTCACTAATATCATCTTCATTGATGTTCTCACCTTTTGAGAACCTTGAACAAGATGCCCTAAGAGCTTTAGACTTTGTTCCTTCCTCCTTATCCATGTCTTTCTCCTTTTTCATCTTCTTCTCATGTTTATTTTCATGTTTCTCTAAGCAAGTGAGTTCTTGCTCATGTTCTTCTAGCTTTACAAACAAAATAGTGAAATCAAGTGTTGTAAGATCATTAGCTTCCTTGATCACGGTGACCATTGGTTACCAATTCCTAGTAAGACATCTCAAAACTTTGTTAGTAACAATAACATTGGAAATATGATTACCTAGTGAGTTTAAACAAATAATGAGATGAGCAAACCTTTTTTGCATTTGAGCAATGGTTTCACCATGCTTCATGCGAAAGAGTTCATACTCTTGATTAAGTGTATTAATTCTAGATTGTTTAACCTCATTGGTTCTCTCATGAGCAACTTGCAATGTGTCCCACAATGCACCAAGAGCGGATATGAGAATATTTTGTGTTTTCCAATCATGTCCCCGCTTCTTTCTATCACCATCATTCCATTGTGCTTCCGACTTAGGTGTGGCAACACCATTAGCATCGATTTGAGTGACCGGTGTTAGACCATTTAAAATATCTTTCCACACACCTTTTTCATATGACGATATAAATACGCCTACAGGCTTTCCAATAACCATTGTTTTCTCCTATTAAAATTGGCGCTCTATTATACGCCCATTTATGTTTGCTAGCCATTTTCTAATAAAAGTTTTGAAGCACAAAATTAATCGAAGCTCGTGATACAACTTGTTAGACGATGAATTATCTAGAGGGGAAGGGGTGAATTGACACCCAAGTAAAAGCACGTTTCAAAATGGTAATTAAGAATTTACTTTGAAAGACAATATTGCATAGAATATTTTTAGCCTAGATTGAAAAGTCGTCTAAACGAACCTAGTTATTGGAAATTCGGATATGCAAGAGCCAAATAGAATAACAATATATAAACAATTAACACAACAGTTTCACAATTAATCATTTATCACAAAACACTTTAGCAACTTATTTCCAATGCGATTGTATTAAAAAATAGAACTTAACAATTTATCAAACACTTGGTGCACGATCAGTTTTTTAGATTTTTCTTTTGAGCTTTGTTGATTTGAAAACAGCAGTTACAATCAAAGTGATTATAAGCAGATCAACAAAGAAATTTAAGCTTTAACAATCAAAGAAAAATTCTATACGAATCGATCAAACACTAAATTCAACAAATTTCATATAGAAAGTAAATGAGAGTGTGAGAGAGAGAGAGAGAGAGAGAGAGAGAGAGAGAATAACACAAGGATTTGTTTAGGAAGTTCACCAATCGTTCTCGCTATGGCTACGCCTCCCCTCAATTCTATTTTAGAATTGAGATAAATTTCTTAATTTGCAAAAAGTTGATTACAAGAGAAGTTTTCGAAGAGCAACCCTACAAACCCTAACTGTTTGATGTTGATTCAACCTCTTATCTTCTTTTGGTCTTGAGCAAGACCAAGACACAAGAGATCCAATTGATTCACCGTCTCACGCTACTCTTTTGTGATATCCATAATCTCCAAAGCTTTCACTCGATCGAATCCAATTGTGAATAATTAACCACAAGAACTTCCACTACAATCCACTATCTCACGCCACTCCTTTGAAGATCTCCAATCTTCAAAGCTTTCACTTGGACGAATCCACTATTGAGAAGTCTTGAACAAAACCCCCAAGTCTACCAAAGATCTTGGAAGACAACCCCTAGGTTTTTATGGATGAAACTCATCATAATTCTCAATCTAATATACTCGGTAACACAAACTTAATTGGACGTTATCAAATCTCGTCTAGATGGCACCCCAACAAAAAATGATTATGTGTAGTTTGTTAGTGTATATGCATAGGTTGGAGTTGAAGATGAAGAGAAATGATGGTAAGTGTTTATAGTTTCATCAAGTTAAAATGATGTATGTATGAAGTATTTATAGTTGGGGGAATATGGTGGCAAAAAGGGATACTTCAGATTTAAAAAATAGTTTAAAAAATTAACCAAACAATCAGGATGTGCCGACCTGAAACAAGTCATATGTCGACACATGAGAAAAAGAGGCTACAAGCTTTAATAATGTTGTCGTATGTGCTGACACATATTGTTATTTTTCATAATGTGCCGATCTGAAATGGTTTATGTGCAGACATGTGAATGACAAAGACTAGAGGCTTTAATATTGAGGTACATGTGTTGGCCCTTAAAACCGTATGTGCAGACACATGCAACTAAGTTTTATACAGAATTTGATTTTTCATGTTTTATACCAATTCCAAAGTTGTTCTAGATGTTTCCTAAGACCTCTAATGCAAGGGTGTGCAAAAACAACTCAGAGATATCGTCCAATATAGAGAAATACTAAGTTATGTTAGTTTTATCATCAAGTAAAACATCTAAAGGCAAGTTGCACTCACAAAAAGTGTGTTGTGTGTGTTATGATTCTCAAAATCATAAGCATGTTGTGTTATATTATGAGAGAGATTGAGAAAAAATAATTTATACATGTGTTGAAGATAGTGCACAAAATTAAGAGAGAATACCCATTTGATTCGAGTCAAGAGAAAATGGTATGTTCGAGTCGAGTGAGTGAATGATTTGAATCAAGAAGTAAAAACCCAATAAATCGTAGCATTGATTCGAATTAGTTATTCAATTCACTGATTCAAGTCAGGCAAACTCATGTTCTAAGTCAGAAATACATAATCAAAATCCCAAATTTATATGTAATTTTTTATTCCGAGTCATGTTATTTTGTGATTCGAATCAAGACCTCCATGATATGAGTCAAGCATTTATATGATTCAAATTAGAAATACAGAAGAAAGATATTGTTTTTCAGATTCAACTTTTGATTCGAGTCATGTTATTTCATGATTCTATTAGAAATACATAATAAAAAATATGGCTTTCACATTCCACTTTTGATGAGAGTTAGTCAATTCTATGATTAAAACCACACTTTGAAAAGTTCAACTTTTAAGAAAAATTAAATGCTTATTTGAATTGAGATTTGGTAAGATTTGAATCATACATTCATGTGTTTCTTGATTCAAATCTTCGGCTAACTGACTAGAACCATATTACATCAACTTTAAACAAATAGTTCAATTTATTCATGCATGAAAATGTTTTAGTATGGGATAACAATGAACAGAGTTTGGCCATGATGGGTGTTATAATACTCGTCCCATACCTGTAGTATGAAAAAATTCCCATACTCGAGTTCATACTTGCTTGGGCACTAACATTTACACCCGTATCCGAACTCTATGGATATATAAATACTCATACTTGTATCCATTACCCGCATCTCTAATAAAAATAAATTAATCAATTATAAAATATCATATAATCAATTTAAGTTTTTAAGGATATTAAATAAAATTTTAAAAAGTTTATTATTGAATTATAAAATAAACAAATATTTATATTAAAATATGTAATAGTTTTATATTTATGTATTTTTTTTTAAATGATAGACATAGATTTGTATGTAATAATCTAAATTGAAATAGATAAATATATATTATACGAGTATATGAAGCAAGATGGATACTAAAGTGTTTAGCCCTGCATTCGTACCTTTTTATTTTAAGACTTCATCCATTCCTTTTTAAATGTCATTTTAGTATAAAACTCTTCAATTAAGATAATAGATTGTTAGAATTATTTTTTCTATTATACTCTTATTTATTTGTTCTTTTTTCAATAAATAATTGAAAAAATAATTAATTTCATGAAAAATATGAAGTGAAGTTATTAAAAAAATAAGATTATAATTGATAATTTATAACATTAAATTATAAAAACAACACTTAAATAGAAATTAAAAAAAAACACTTTTAAAACAACATTTATAAAAAAATGGAGTGAGTAAATAATAACTCGAGTCCATACTTGTAGCTTTTTCAAAGGTTTTAACACTATCAATTGTGAGTATGCCTAAATTTAAAGGATTTGTATTTGTGTACATAAGTCTTATTCATAATACAAATTCAATAAGTTAACTTTGTTGGCATCATATCCGTCATTCGCTAGGTTATAAGTTAAGCCACGGTTAGTTTATTAATTATCAATTTTGTTTGTATTTGGTAAAAAGAAACTTTAAATAAAAAAAGATATTTCACTCAAGCCTTTCCCGATATTGACCCAAATAACTCACCATCATAAATATTCAACCAATGAGAGGGAAGACATACTAAAGTGTCAAACTTTTTAAAGTTAAATAAGTTTGGGTCTTATAATATTCTAAAATTCAATTTTAGTTTTTAATTTTTTTATTTAAAAATGATCCTCTTAAAAAAATTTACATATTTTTTATCTCTTCTGCAATTTAGCATCGATTTTTGCAACTTAACAATATAATTAAAGATCATTTTAATGAAAACTTACTATTTAATTATTGAATTAACTATAATTTTAATAAAAGATTAAAAGTGTAGATAAATTTTTTTAAAGAATTATTACCTCCAATTTCTTTTTTGCAAGTAGTATTATTATACGACTTCATATAAACTTGAAAACTAATCATTGTACTTAACTTCTCTTTCAAAATCATCACACTTTTATCTTGCTGATGGTCACTAGCTACTAACTACAGCAAAAAGATATCACTGAAAGAACACCAAGGTATATATCAAACAGTGATAAAATTATTATTTGAAGTCCATTATTTCACTATTTTGTGGCTGAAACTTATTCAACATTCACATTATCTGTTTCTTGTAAACAGAAGAAGCCACCAAAGACTATGCAAAAAAGAAAAGGCTGAGTTTCTCACCTATGACCTTAACTAATCTATAATAACAATGTTTGAAAATATAGTATATATATATTACAGTAATGTTCCTATTCCAAAAGTAGAAAATTTGATGAAACTGAAAACAACCCATGATTTCAATTTTCAATTTTTAATCTTCAATCCCAAATGGGTGATAAAAAATCATCAGAAAAAGTAGCATAGAATTCAATTCCATCTTCAAAACCAATTGATGGAGTAAGAGGATGATGATAAACGTCCCAGTTAGTACTATTAACCGAGTCATCAAGCAAAAGAAACTCAGAACCAGCTGAGTCAACAACCGAGTCATCTTCACCTTCATTAATTTTAGGAAGTTCAACAATTTGACTAAGCTCTTGTTCTTGTTCTTGTTCTTGTTCAGATTCAGAACAACATTGTACTGTCACGTGCGCGACAGGTTCATCAAAGTCAACCATAGCTGCTGCTGCTGTTGCTGCAGCTTGAATGTCACTAGGTGCTGACGTGGCAGGTATAGGGAGCATGTTTGAAATATTAGGAAAATTGAGGATTGCGGTTTTGCCTTTGATGGTTAAAGCTGCTACATCGTGTGCTCTAGCTGCTGCTTCTGGTGTTGAGAATGTTCCGAGCCAGATTCGTGATTTTTTGCGAGGCTCTCGAATTTCTGACACCCATTTTCCCCAGCTGCGTTTTCTTACTCCATGGTAGGTTGGGTGTTTGTTGTTGTTTTTGTCGTCTTTGGGCTTTGTTGAGGTTTGTTTTTGAGTTGAATGTGAGGGTAGTGGTGAAGAAGATGAAGAGGTGGAGGAGTTTGAGGTTGTTGTCGTGGTGGTTGTTTCTGAAGAGGTTGTTGTTGTTGTTTGTGTCATTGTTTGTTATTGTGATTATGATTAAATGATTGTTGAAGAGAATGTAGTGGTAGAGAGAGAAAGAGAGAGAAGAAATAGAGTAGGGAGGAGTAGGGAAAGAAAAAGAAGGGAGAGAATGAATGAGAAGACAATGCCAAATGGTTAATCTTTTTGTAGTGAAGGAAACGCTCACTCATATAGCGACTCTTGACCTACCAATAATATTGTATATTGTTCTACTCTTACAATTCAATCTCTTCAACAAAGAAAATTCTCTTTGTTAACAAATTTTAAACTATCACAATTTGAGATTAGGTATCCTATTAAAGAATTTATCACTTTTATATTCTACATAAATTAAAAAATTATTGTAATTAATTTTTGTTAGATACATTGAATAACTAATTATCTATATAATATATACAAAATATATTATTTATTTGATCAATTTAAAATATAATCTTTTTTTATAAATAAGATCAGAAGAATACATATGAATAAGACATATTATAAATTACTTATTTTATAATTTTCTTTTTTTGTTAGTGATATGAGAAAGATAGATAAAATAATTTAGAAAAAAAGTAATTAACAATTATATTGTATAATTGGACAAAATATATTATTAATATTATAAAACAAAGAGACATATTTTTTTTTAATATATTAAATAATCAATGTATTTCATATATAATTCAAATGCATTTATTATTCATTTATTTTAGCCATATTTTTTTAAAGAATAAAAAATTATTATTAATTATGATTATATTAATGTTAAAATTTGAAGTGTGTTTTTTAATGTGTCAAACTCTTATAACTGAAAACACATTTTTGACATATTAATTTTTTATGAATTTTTTTCGAAAATATATTAATTTTTTATGATTTAAAAAAATTACTAGATGTAATATTTCCTTCAAAATGATTTAAAATAAATGAGATTGTTTGTATAGTAAAACAAACAAAAATTTAATATAAAAAATGAATTGTATACTCATTTTCCCCACATGGTTTTACACTAGTCATATCATATTTGGTTCATAGTTGTCAAAGGTTCAAAGCCATGTTTTGTGAAAAAATAAATTATAAACTACCATACTAAAAAAAACTAAATGCATGTTACATACACTCTAGAGTTGAAAAACTGAAATCAAAATAGTAAAATAAACCTATTTGTCTGTAAAATATTCTAAGAACAACTAGTGAATCATGCAGGAGAGTTCTAGTAGGATGAACCATAGGGATGAGTCAATTTGTAGAACATAAGGTCCCACGTGAAGTATAAATTATTGTAGGTGCAACGTTCATATATAAGATTATTAATTATGTGAAAAAGCCTCATAAGTCCACGTAGTCTAGTCTTTCTTTTTCTTGTGCCCGTTGTGATTAAATTGTCAGTTATGTTATCTTTGTCCAAAACGCCACTCCTCAACTTGTTCAAGAAAGTTTCACAACCATTTTGCTTTCACTTTTCACCTTTCTTGTTCTTGTTAAATAAAGATACCAAAGTGCACTTATGGGTAATATCTGAATATAGGTCAAAACTAAAATTGAAAATACACAAAATTTAATATTAGAATTATTTTATGTGTTTTTTTTAAAGAAATCTGTATGGAATAGAATTTTTCAAACCAAATTATTAAATCGAGTACACAATGTTACTCTCAATCCACTTGCTAAAATTACTAATTTTTCGATATTCTTTTTTATGATTACGACAAATAATATCTAATACAAACGATTAATCAATATTTATTTATTAGTTTTTTTATATCCCCTCTTCAAGATCACGACAAATAACATGTACACCATCTTAATTATTTTTTTTAGATGATTGACGTATACGTGTTGTTAAATAAGGCGTCTCATAGTTAAAATCTTGATCTTCATCAGTACTATCGAAAATATGTTTTCTTTGTAAAACAATTGATTATATAACGTTAGAAGGATCAGTGACATAAAATAATTGTTTTGTTTTGGTTGTCATGATGAATGGTTCGTTTTTATAAGTTGTCTTTCGAATATCAACCCGTGTGAATCCTAATTCATCGATTTCTATATCAATGTTACTCTCAATCCACTTGCACTTAATTAAAGGCACTTTAAAAGAAACATAATCAATCTCCCAAATCTCCTCAATGACCCCAAAGTACGCTCTAGATGCTAGTACAAGATTGTTATCTTTGGAACTAAAAAAGTACATGTATTCAACCTCAACCATAACCCCACTATTTTGCAGGGTGCTACGATCATCCTTTGATTTTGTATAGAATGAATATTTACTAATGTCGTACGCACTTCAAGTAATTAGATTAAACTTAGGCATATGTGACAATCATTTGCAAGTATATGATGCACTAATCTCTTTAGAAATGTAAGAACAAGATTTAGTTTTACATCTGACCTTTAGTTTCGATGATAACAATACTTTATTTGTTAGAGAAAAATTTTGTACCCTAATAGTTTTGTATAATGTGTAGCTTTTGCTAACAGGTTCTGACTTTGATAGAATGACACGTGACGTCATCAGTTTTTGGAATCAACACACTCTGACTCTGGGTAGATACAAAGTACGTGTTACAAAGACATTGTCAAGTTCTGGAATGCTTCTAAACAATGGTTCTGAAGAACGTTAGTCTAAAGCTTATGACTATGACTCTGATGGAAGAGCTTTTGAGGACTTCTCAAACTCAGAGGTTCTGAAGACCAAGTTCTGAAGACAAGGTTCTACTGAATAAGTTCTGAAGACTCTAAAGACTAGGTTTTGAAGATCCTGCGCCTTCAAGTTCTGAGGTTCTGAAGACCAAGTTCTGAAGACTCTGAAGACAAGGTTCTGCTGAACAAGTTCTAAAGACTCTGAAGACAAGGTTTTAAAGATTTTCTTTCTGATTTTGATCCTTCTAAGAATTGATATTGATTGTTTATAAGAAATGTCAAGATATTGATTGTTCAGAGCTCCAGTTTTGATATTGATTGTTTATCAAACACTTCACCGTTTCAGATAAAGATCCAGATTTTTTTTGTTGAAACACAATGGCAAGAATCATTCCACATGTTGCACCCATTGCAAATAAAAGAGATAACTATAATGCCAAACCTCTAGTCTTTGATGGAGAAAAGTTTGACTACTAGAAAGACAGAATATAAAGTTTCTTGCTTGGTCACGATGTAGATATATGGGATATGGTAGTTGATGGCTATGAACACCCTATTGATAGCTACGAGCAACAAAAGAAATATTACAAGAATCATCATAAATATAGAATTATTCTGTTGAGTGCTATTTCTTATACCGAGTATGAGAAAATCAAAAATAGAGACATTGTGAAGTTTATATTTGATTCTTTGAAAATGACTCACAAAGGGTGTAAGTTCCTTAGTTTTAAGGTTGACATTAGTTTTTGTAAAATAAATATATAACAACAATTGTTAAATAGGACATGCTATCTTGCTATGAGGAACAGGTTAAGCAAGAAGTCTTATTTTATATTGGGACATGTTGAGTTGAAGTGTTTCAACATCTGGAGCAATATGTCGGATAAGATGTCCTATGAAAGAGCATATGACATCGCGTCTGAGCTGAATAGGATAGTTAGATTCTGTTATGATTTAACTGATGTAAAATATTATGGGAATATTATGCAATCCTATATAGCGTTAAATTAAATGTCAAGAAGAATCAAGTCAGAATATTGAAGATTATGTAGTTTCTAAATATGGAGATATTTTAGGAAACAAATGATTGAAGACCTTGCTTGTAGCATAAGTTTTTGTTGATTTGTAACAACTGATATGCTGTGATTGAAGGCACAAATCTAGTTGGGAGTAGGTTATAAATAGAAGGGTTTGTAACCTAGTTATGTACAGGTCCAAGATATAGATCATTAGGGCTTTGTCTATGTGAACCACTCAGGTTGTGAGATATGGTCATTATGTTCTCACTCAGAAACTTATAGGTAATGAGTTGAGTATGGTTCTTGGAGGAAGCTTTGAAGAAACTTCAAGTTATTATTCTTAATTAGGAGAAAAGTTGTAAAGGTTGGAGTTTAACTTTGAGTCTTAGCTAGGTATTGTCATGGAAGTGTGTCTTCCTGTTTATTCAGAATTATTTTGATCCAATCATTGTCTTTGATTGATGAGGGATTGCGGAAGGACTCATATCTAGGTGAGTCTTAGATAGAAATCTAACAAGGATAGTGAATAAGTGAGTAGATTGTAAACTGGAGGTTTGTTGTAGGGTATATGAATTGATAGTATTTTAGTGGACTTATCACTAGCTTGGTATGCCCCCAGAGTATGAAGGTTGTTTTGAATTGGGTTAGCAATTCATGTGTGTTATTTATGCTTTTCAGTACTGGTTTTTAATTGTTTATACCTTACCGTAATATTTAATTCAGAACATATGTCTCGACATGTCATAGTACATATGAGTTCTGTCATACCAGAATTTCAATGGGTATCAGAGCAGGCATCCTGTCTATTTCTGGATGAGATCCATGGGAGATACTTTCTGGTTTATGTGCAAGGTAGAGGGTTTTTACTGAAAAGTTATTTGAACTTATATAGTTAATTTTTTTTTAATGGTCCCTTGAAGTGGAGGATGGACTATTCGTGACAGGGTGTATATTGGACTTGTATGCATTATTTTCAAGCGTGTAGCTTTGGTGGCAAGCTACTGTGTTGAGGATTTGATTTATTTCAAACCTAGGTTAACCTGTTGCATCTGGAGTATGGTGTGTTAGTGCAAAGGTTTATGTTGTGCCTGAAGGTTGTTAAGGAGTTTTTTGATTTGTGTTCCACTGCATATATATCTGATGGAAAACTCCTGGTGGTTTTGTGTGTTGAGTATGTAACACTCTATTCACCTCTCGAGGTTTATCCCAAGTCCACTCATAAAGACACTATTATATGAGTTTGTTGAAGAAAGATTTGGTAGAGGCAATTTATTTTTTCTTTCAACCCTAAAAGGCCAATCTCCAGGCTTTGATAGAGGATCTCTCGGTGTGTTCCTTGTGAAG